CTTATCCGCAAGTACAGCGACTGTATCTGATGAATTGGTTCCTGAATGGTATAGTAGAAAGCATGATCGCGACAGGAGTTGACAGGGTAGAGGGCGATACTCCGGGCCAGACCACTCAGTAGCAGGTAGACATGTCAGGTAGGAGATTATCAGCCAGTCGTTTACAAATAGAGCTCAACAGGCAGTCGTTTACCAGTAGAGCTCAACAGGCAGTCGTTTACGAATAGAGCTCAACAGGCAGTCGTTTACGAATAGAGCTCAATAGGCAGTCGTTTACGAATAGAGCTCAATAGGCAGTCGTTTACGAATAGAGCTCAACAGGCAATCGTTTACGAATAGAGCTTAACAGGCAATCGTTTACGAATAGAGCTTAACAGGCAATCGTTTACGAATAGAGCTTAACAGGCAATCGTTTACGAATAGAGCTTAACAGGCAATCGTTTACGAATAGAGCTCAACAAGCAGACGTTTGACATCTTTTTAGAGCACCCTATTGCTATCGTCAGTGGTTACAGTGTAACATCCACCCAGTAGTGAGCATCTCCAATGCACTGTAGTACCTGCCTTAGCCGCATTCCTCTCTCCTCAGTTCACAGTACTGCCACATCATCTCGACCTCCCTGACAGGTGCACGCCTCGTTTCTTCCAAGAGTCACTTGCTGGTCTTGCTAATCTTGCTTTTCCTCCAAATTTCAGCTCGGTCGCGCGGGTCCTTCTAAGCTTGGCTCCAGCGCGCTGAATACTACTTTTTGGTTACCGTGTCGTCCAGTTGCTAGAAGGACACCATGTTTGCCGTATCGACTGCATTAGCTGCTCAGGAGGGCCTGTAGGTCGGGACTGGGATATCTTGAGGTTGCCCGTGAAAGATTCAGAATAGGTCCGGAACTGGCCTGTCGTTCTGAACGCCGCTTTCGAACAGATTTTCAATTTCTCTCTTTTTCCTCTCAATTTCATTAGACCCTTTTTTGTGTATAGACTTCATAATACTCATTATCAACGTCACTGCGTTTTTACTCGACCGCGAATTAGAAATCGGTCGCGAACTATTTCGACCAATTTTTCGGATTTTTTCGGCGCAATTTCCACGGAAATCACGACCAATCCTCAGGTACTGTTCGCCCACCAATTTCTTCCTTGCCTCTCTGGGCATTGCCGCTTCCATCAGTTTGGCCAACCTCGGTGCTGCTTATGGCACTGCCAAGGCCGGTGTTGGTATCGCTTGCATGGGCGTTATGAGAGGTACTACCACACTTCTTACAACTCACATCTCCCATACCCACTCTATAGGTGATCTCGTTATGCGATCTCTCATCCCCGTAGTCATGGCTGGTGTGTTGGGTATCTACGGCCTCATTACTTCTGTTATCATCAACGGCAAACTCGAGAACCCCGCGGCTCTCAGTCCATATTCAGTAAGTACCCCTTTCCCTCTTCTAGGGCGTTTACTCTCTCTACCAGGCCTATGCACTCCTTGGTGCCGGACTTACTGTTGGTTTCTCAGCCTGGGCCGCTGGATACGCTATTGGCATTGTTGGTGACATTGGTGTGCGGTGAGCTCATTTATTTTAGTTGTTGCTTTTTCCATCTTCCTATTCACAGGTGTAACGCTCTTTCCAACGGCAAGCTGTTCGTGGGCATGATCCTTATTTTGATCTTCGCCGAAGCTCTGGGCCTGTACGGTCTCATCGTTGGCCTTGTTGTTGCCTCTGGTGCTATGGAAAAGGGTAGTAACCTCTGCATCCCCTACAAGAGCTAAACATTCATTGTGATGACCCCACCTCGCCTTTTTATCCCACCACGGCGTGTAGGACTCTCCCATACCACTGCTGATACAGCCAATTGCACTTGCTGGGGTTTTGGTTACTGAGTTTGATGATAATGCATCATTACGAAATGCTAGAATAATTTCCGTCAATCGCCTTGCTTGTGTTGCTTAATCGAATTTTTTGGTGATGATGAGACGTGTGAGGCCTACCTGTCAGCCCTTGCATTGACCAAGTATAATGAGTATCGATGTTGTAGACAGTGTTGGTCATTCTCCTTGTATGAGCTATGGCTCTTATGTAAGGCCTCTTGTAGGG